ATCGATTTAACATTATATTTTATTCAATGGTTTAGAAGAAACTCGAGATTGAAATTGATCGATAGATCTCTGTGTTCTTTTTAGTTCGAGTTTTTCACGTGGCCTAATTTAAAATTCTATATTTAGGAAAAACTGACATGAATACTTGAACATATTTGGAATAACATAATAATTACTCAATATGTATGTATATTCATTGATTCCTACTAATTGATAGTTGGTGCAGTGGTGATTGAGGCTGCATTTGGTATGAAGGATTGTGTGTTCGATCCCCTGCAACAACAAATGGGAGGAGATTGGAACCTAATCACCCATAACTGAGTCTCGAATCCGGATTAGCCTAAAGGGTGAAACCAGTGAAACACCAAAAAACAAAAAATATTCATTGATTCCTTTTTTACATATTTATATAGTATGACATTTGACTTAAAGATGTTTATTAAATTGGTCTTAAATTCTTAATGTACTTTATAGATCAACATATCTATGAATGGAGTATGTTCAAGCTAATCACAAGTCTTAGAAAGATATGGATATACATAATCCATCACATTGATGTTCATGACTTGAAGAAGAGCGTGTTATGATTTTCAAGTCGTTTTCAATCAATGATATTTGTTTCAATTCCTTAATTTTGTAGCGGATTCTAATGAGATTTTTATCACGGGAAAAATATAATCTTATTCTTAGACAGGTAGTAGTACTTTGTAACAAAATTGTGGGGGCAATAATAGTCATGGGATGGACTCCATCAACTTTTAAAAAAATCAATCAAGAACAAAACAAAACATATAATTTGTGCATGATCAATATATGTATAAAATGGTCATTTACAACCTAATCATGTAGTACAATAGTACAAAACTATGCTTACAAAGAAGTGAGTGGGCTCATAAACATACTTGGGTTATTTTGCAAAGGTATGGAATATTTTTAGCTGTATTTAAACTTTATCATGCATACAAATAAAAAAAATAAAAAAAAGGACCTATCTATGTGTATAGTTTTCAATCTTTTACCTTTTTAAAATAAATGGAAAGCTACAATTGCTGGAGTCCCTTAACTTTATCTATTCAATTTCTTCCTAAGTTCTCTCACCTCTTTTTGTTTTGAAATAGTTTGATTACATTATTTTGTATTGTCTAATGAGCATGATGTGATAATGTTAGACCGTAAATATGTGTATTGTTGATATTTATTTGCTTGTTCCACTATTTTTTTTACATGAAAAATCATTGACTTCTTTTTTTGGACACCACAATTAAAATCATTGATGTAGGAGATCGGTTTTTCTCATATGTCCTAGAACTGATCAAAATTGATCCGATCTAAATTTGGGCGGGTTTTTGAGGTTTAATTTTTTATTTTTTTGGACGGGCTTGGGAATGCATTTTTATGTTGTTTTAGTTCATTTTTTTGGCCTGACCCGAAAAGCCCACACGGTTCAGTCATATCGGGCGAGTTTGGGCATGAAATTTTTGGCCTGAAGCTAGGCCCGACCCGAGAAATGGGCAGATTTTTTATGGCTCGACCCGGCCTGCCCATTGATCAGGTCTAATATGTCTGCTTCAATAGAAAGGATTGCGAAAAGTGAGATTATATCAATAATAAGACAAATTTTTATGAATAAATACATACAATACTTCATGTGGTATAAGTATCAATTCTTATACGTCAAATTTATCTGCCAGATTAATGTGTATGTTTATCTTTGGGGTATATTCGTCTTTCTCGGTTTTAGTATGTGGGTAGAGTTGTAATTTTCCACATTTCTTGGTTTTCTCAGTTAACAGAGTTTCTTAATTAAATGCTATTCAACCTTAATAGAAAATTCAATTCAAAACTCACCCTTCAATCGAATATTTGAAGCTCATGAGCATCTTCAATGAAGGAAGACGACATACAAACCCTACGATTTGGGGGTTAATATTCACAATGGAAAATTGATTGTTAATATATAAATAATTGAAATTCATTTTGTATTAGCTGATTATACTCGGTTATTTTCACCTTATAATTTTGTTTCTTTTGAAAAATGAGATTCAACAAATTCGATATAAGTTTAGATAATCTAAGACAATATTCTCCACAATTTATTTATAATAGTATATTTTAAAGATTTGTAATAATTTTTTAAAAGTGAATTATTTAACCTGTCAGGCCACAACATTTAAATTTATATTGCAATAGCCAATGGATCCCATGGAATCAATGACAACGCACTTTCTTTCTTTAATTTATTACTCGTATTTTAATTTTTGAGTTATTGTTCCAAATTATCCATCAACAACATAACGATTCCAAACTTCTAAAAGATAACAAAGATGAAGTCACGCGAAGAATCCAACAATGCCATCGTCAATATAATAAGTATGATTCTTTATCTTGTTCTTAATTATCTATGCAATCAATTACAAATAATAATAATTTCAATTAAGGTGGCCTAGCTAACGCCTAAGTGTGCATGATTCCTTAATCTAAAGTGCTCGGTACACTTTCTTTCATATATAGAAGGTGTGGAAGTTTTCAGTTGTTTTTTGTGATTTTCTTATGTTAATATCCTCGCTTCTCGTCTATTTATAATCACTAAGAGATCAATTAACTTAGTTCTCTTATTTTCTTCATTGTGATCAATTTGTTATATGTCTTGAGAAAAGACGAAAATTAATTGTAAATCGTGTATCTTTTCTTTGAAAAAAAAAAAAAAAAAACCTCATTATTCCTTATTATTCTTTGTGTAATAAGTCATTAAAGTCTTATTGCATAAAGGTTTGGCTAAAATATTTGATTTTCAGTTGTTGATTTTGCTTTTCTGTTACGAATGGAACAAAGGCCAGCCTTTAATTATCCATGCAAAATTTTAGTGATCGAACCAGAATGACGTCATTAATAGACATAATTATTCTAAATTTATAAAAGTGTGTGTTTTTGTTAAGAAAATTTCAATGTAAATGTTTATTACCACATTTGATATCAAGTTCAAGTTTAATGTAATAACTTGGTAATTTACTCTCAAACACATGTTTTAATTTTCCTAAATTTCCATCCCAATATAATTTCTAGAGCATTAATAGATTATGAAAACATTGAATTGAAGAAAAAGGACATTTTATATAGCGAGGACAAGTATTACTCTTGAAATTGACATAAACAAAATGCAAAGTACTAGTAGTATATCTTTATGAACTACATATAAAATCATTTACTTTTTAAAGCAAAATATCTATAACTAAAATTAAAGCTAGAAAAATCAGTCATGCAAGTTGAATTAATTAATTAACTAAGAATATCCTAGTGTTGTTTATGACAAAATGCAAAAAAAGACAAGGCAAAATAGGAAAAATCACCTTTCTTTGTCTACTACTATTAGTCGTTAGTTTTTTGTTGCTTTGTTTAATTAGTGGGATGATATATAAAAGAACTATAAACGTCCTTTAGCCAATGATTGTATTTTGATAACATTATTAGACCTTAATTTAATTTAATGGAATGTTACTCAGCTCATATTAGGGATAGGAACAATTGGAAGATAGTGATTAATTACCTGCTAATCTAACTAACGTCACTATATATGGGCCTTTCTGTAAATGTAAGAATTTAATACTTTATAGTAAGTCATATTTTTATTCGTTGGTTGATCGATTAGAGGAAAAATCTTAAAGCAATTATACTTATTCGACATATAAGACAAATTAAGCTAACAAGTTAATGTAACAAACTATTTTTTATATCAAATTGGGTATAATTTCATGGAATGCTTTTTAACTTTACGAGGATACGTAATTAGGAGAATTTGAGAAAATTGATTGACTCAAAGCTATTCCAATATCTAATTTCTATCCCACACTCAAGTTGTATTTTACGACCCCTAACTATACATTTCCCACACACGTGCAGACCGATGTGCCTACAGTGTATGACTGTAAAATAGACACAATGCAAAACTAGTATGAAGTATTTCATTAGCGAATTGGAATAGCTAAAAAACAAAATTATAAGATATCAACTACTTCCTCCGTTCTTTTTTTATCGCATCACTTACTACTTTAGGAATTTTACTTATTATTGCATCATTTCCATTTTAGGATAAAAAATATCTATGTTCACACTGCAAATACCCAACATACCCTTACTTTTTCACACTTACTTTTTATTTTATCTTACATTACATGGACAATTTTGTATTTTTACGTTTCTCTCTCTTACTTTTTCCCACTACCAAATTTTGCCTCCAAAACCCCTATGATGCAATAAAAAAAACGGAGGAAGTACAATAGTTCAGTTTTTTAATTAAAATATTTTTATAGTTGTAAATCTGAGATCACACTTGTGTATATAATTAGTGTTCGTATTTTTTAATATTAATTGTATTTTTTTTAAGTAGAAAATAATATTTATTGTTGGTAGAGAATAGAAATACATTATTAAAGGTTTAAAAAAATAAATAGAAATACATTATTAAAGGTAGGCTCACATCTCTAGGGTGGGGGATAGTTGATACCCGGAGATGAGAATACGCAACAAGTGAAGTGCAAGGCAGTCTCGGCTCGCCGCGGAAAACATTGGAACTTTCAACGCCTTAACAACAACAATGTTCCTCATTCTAGTTTTTTATTACTTGTATAAGAATCAAAAATAATTTCAAAGTTGATATAAATTTTAAGACTAAAATCTTTTTCTAAATTGATAATTTTGAGAAATGGTGATTCTTGATTTTTTTATTTATTTTTATTTTTTATAAGCTTCTTATATATAGCATTTTCCCATTTTTTTTTTCTAAATTTTTTCGAGTTCCTTCTTTTTGATTACTCGTAATTATTTTCATGTGTGTGTCATAAGTATCTTACCATACCATCCATTACTATTGTAATCATTCACATTTATTCTAAATCTAAATATCATTGAAGTTATTATGATTTTTTAGTTTCAACGAATTTTGTCTCATTTCATAACCAACTCAACTGATCATAATATCTAGCAGAAATTAAAAGAAAAACGAATAAAGCATGTTTAATTTTTGCACAATTTCATGAAATCTCTCCCTTTCACTTCAATCTCTACATAGCAATTAGCAATTAGCAATTTGCATTCACTTCAACAACACAAAACCGAAAAAAGTTACCTATGTCCCTGAAATTCTTCAATAATAATGATCAAATCTAACCAGGCCACTATCTCTATCATCAGCAACTAAAACGAAACGAAATTACTCCCTCCATCTGATTAAGTTGTTACATAACTCATAATTTCGACTGAAAAAGTAACAAAAATAAAAAACTACCTACCTAAAAACCTTCTACATATGTACCTAATCCTCTCATCCCAAACCTAATTACCTTTACTAATACCACCATATAATTTTTTTTTCTTAATTCTCTCTCTTTTTTTCTCCAATAAGATTTTTTTTTTTTTTTTTTTTTTGTAATTTAAATTATGCATGGGGTCCAATCTTACTATATCCCATGACATACCTGAGCAATAACAATAATTGACAAATATTGACCCACCACAACATACACCCTCACTATACCTTCCACCAACATACTCAGGTTGTCCTTTCTCTACTTTTATCTTCTTCACCACCCATTTTCTCTTCACCACCACCGCCTTCGCTTTCGCCACCACTTCGATTTGTTCCGCCGCTACTACAACTCGCTAACGAAGAAGCCTTACTACTCGCCGGCATGGCCAAGAACGTAGGTTTCGCCTCCCCCGCCATGATCACCAATACACTACACGGAATCGATGTGGCGGTGACATTATTTTCCTTGAGTTTCTCATCGCCGGTGACCTCGCCGGAATCCTCGCCGGCGTCAAGGTAGCCGGAGAGTTTCCAATACGAACAAGCGAGGATAAGCAATGCAAAGGCGATTAACCCGAGCATGGCGGCTAGGCCTCCGAATAGGTATGGTACCGGGGACTTCCACCCGGCCGCGGGCGGTGTTATATGGTGGTGTTGTAGTGGTGGTGTGTGTTGTTGTGGACCAAATGAACCTCCTAGATGTACTATTGTAACCCCTGCCCTCATTTTTATGTTTTAGAGAGAGAAAGAAAAAAAAAAAGAGATGAGAGTTGGTTGAGAGGTGATTAGTGAGTGAAAGTTGTTATTTATAGAGAAAAAAAGAGAGAAAATAATAAAGGGTGTTTTTCGTGAATGGAAATGGTGTCATCTTTTCATTTTATGTTATTGTTAGTGTCTTTCATAAGATATGTTTTTTTGGGTTAGGAGACTTGCTTAGGAGTATGTACATACGTAGGGAAAAGCTATTAGATTTTTTTTAGTGGATACTTGTATATGGGATTATTTGTTGATTGACAATTTGACAAATCAATAATGATGTATTCACACCTCACGCACCTCTCTTTTGGCAGGTGATAATAAATGTGTGTGGAGTGTGATGAAGCTAATGGTAATTGATAAAATTATATGACAGGATTAAAGTAATAAAATTATTCTAAATAACAAATCTAATAAAATGAGAAATTTTTTATACTTAATTAATTTATATTTTTAAAATTTTCTTTTAAGGTTTACCAAGTCCCATATTTACTCCCTTTTCTATATATTTTTCGTTTTAATTTGACAGCTTAGCGAAGCCATTAAAAACAATTAATCACGTCAGACAAACCGGACTTATATTACCATGTACATTTGTCATCTAAGGAAATCTTATGTTTGAAGGATGTTGTTCCTCCTTTAAATTTGTTTTTAGGATTTGCATTGAGGGAAGCTAAGAGAAGAATCAATTCAAATATAATAGTAGGATTTATTAGATTGTAGAGAATTAATTGGCTATAGATAATTGAAAATTACTAAAAATCATAAGGGTTGAGATATGGTTGGAGACACTTTCTCCTCACCCTTTAAAATATGATGAAAAAAAACAAAAGGCAATATTTGAAGTAATTATTATTAAGTTTCTAGACTTCTTTAGTTAATCACTTAATTGTACAATAGATGGGGTTACACATACATTAGAGATCAACATTATTTCAAGTTTTACTATGGATTCTTCGTATCTTAGTTAATTAAATCATGGTACAAGCTGATACTTTAGGAATATTGAATAAATAAAGAAGAAAGTATGTAATTAAGAAATGCCACGTCAAATTTCACCAAAGAGGAGTTGTGTACTGAATTAAGTACTTGTGTTATACGCATCGAGACACACAGAATTGGACAACTGCTTTTTCTCTCTTTGTTCGTTGCCCTTTTTATTTATTGTGTACTACGGAATAGTACGTTTTACTACTAGCTTTATTTACCTACCTGTAATTTATATCCAAATGCATAGCATGGTTTTACAGCCACTTTGTAGTAGTTTGTACGAGTACTTTTTATTAACGTAGTGTGTATATGGGTTTAATGTAGCCTCCTAAGTCTATATTTTATCTCAAATATATGTCGTATGCGTACTAACTTAGTTTGAATATTAAAAGATGGAAAATTTAACAAGAATAATTCAACCTTTTGCTCGATTCTCCCAAATTAATCCAACCTTTCGATTATTTTTTAATAATCCAACCTTTGCCACCCATTTTCTTGTAGCAAACCTACGTGACCGGTTACCTAAATATCAGGTAAAATATTTTTTTTTCTTTTTTTTTTTCTCCTATTCCCTCATCCTTCTTCCTCCTTATTGACATCAATGGATGGCAGCCCAACCCACTACCCAACCATCAACAATGGCTTCCTATCTCTCTCCTCCTTCCTCCACCCCTCTTTAACACCTTTCCACCTTCAAGTACAACTACCATCACCCATCTTCTTCATCCCTCGACCCCACAACCACAACCAGCCCCTTCTCCAATTCTACTCCGACCACCACAAAATACTGCTACCCACCCCTCTCGCCACCCTATTTGGATAAAAACCACCCCAAATCTCAAAACCATAATTAATTGTAATACCAAAGAAACCCAAACCCCCACAATTTCTCTCTCCTCATTTAGAAATGTTGATGTTATTGATTTGATGTTGGTCTGTGGTTATGGTCGTAATGCTCGTGTAAATGGTCGGAATGGGATTTGGTGAGGTGGTATTGGTGGTGGCTGGTGCCTTTGGTGTTGGGTCATGGATTAGGGATTTAGGGTTGGAAGTGGGTCATGATTGTAGGTTAGGGGTGAGTCATGAATGGGGGTGAAGTGTGATGTGGTTGGGGGTCGGGTTATGTTGGTTGTGGTGTTTTGAGGTTTGTGGTGGCGTGTGTGGTGCAGGGAGGCTGTCTGTGTGGTGGAAGGGGTGGGATTTTTTTCTGCTTGGGTGGTGGAAGTGAGGCCGGTTGTGGACAGTGTTAGTGGTGGCTATGAAAGTGACGGTGGTGGATGGGGTATGTTAATGGTGGCCAAGAAAGGAGCAGGAGGGAGATATAAGAAAGGAGGGTTTTTTATATATATATATATATAATTATTATTAGAATTAAAAGATTAAAATTAAATTAATATTTTTAAAGTTAAAAATAAAAATATTTAACCAATGAGGAAGTGACATGTGGATTGACAACCGGTTGTATGGGTGGGGTGACCTGTTGGGGTTGCTACGAGAAAATGGGTGGCAAAGGTTGGATTATTAAAAAATAATCGAAAGGTTGGATTAATTTGGGAGAATCGAGCAAAGGTTGGATTATTCTTGTTAAATTTTCCTTAGAAGATTCACTTAATATCCCAGAGACTCCTGGTCAAATTAGGCTCCATGGGTGACCCGATTCAAGACCGAACTGAGTCAAAACATTCTTCAAGGCACCCCTAAGGCCCTAACCACCTAAAATTGACAACTAAAGGCAATAACGTCATTATTGATCCAAAAATGCTCAACAATATTGTACCGTTAAGATATTTATTATTCTCTTTCCGTCCCTTTATTTAAAGCCTATTTCTAATATTTATTACTCACGTAATAAAAAGAAATAGACTTCTAATTTTGAGACGGAAGAAGTACTTGTTATTGTAAAAATTTACTAGGGAGGATATCCTCCAATAGCAAAGATGATGATACCCTCTCTTTGCACAAAATAAATTAATTGTAGGAGTACCATACAATAATAATAATAATTCTTTATAAAAAGATGAGGGTAGCTCAACATCATGATGCTACGTCGTACTAGTTACTATTATATGGCTTGCATTATTAATATGTTGCGTTTTTCGGATAAAATTAATAAATTTCTTTAATAGTTGGTGGATAATTGCCTTTGTTTATATATATAATAAAATGTGATTAATGAATATTATCTCAGTCTTAACTAATAAAGTAAAGGTATGGTTCACCTTTAGTATCCTTTAATTTATTTATTTTGAATTTTCTTTAGCTTTTTCCTTTGGATACTCTCCCCTATTTTAAATCTATTTTTCAATAAGGTATAGTACTTGAAGAATTGGTTCAGGTGATTCCAACATCCAATTAGGAACATAGTGGGTGACGGTATCGAGCCTAACACCATTATTCTCAACTTCTTGAGTAGCATATGCTTTGTGTCCCAATAGATTATTAAAGTTGACACTCACTCAAAACGAGGAAGAATAGTATGACACGACTCAACATATTTTAGATCCAATAAAAGACAGTCATAATTAAAAATTTAAAACGCTTTGATCATAAGTGAGCTAATAATGCGAGTTCTAGCTTACAAATTCATGGAATGGAATACTTTTAGAAAGATAAGAAATTCATTTTATAACATTTGGTCATTTTTTGAATCAATAGTAGCATTTAACTTTCTTCATTTTAAGTTTGAATTGAATTCCACAATTCATTCTAATTTTATAAAATGATTACTAAAACAAAAAAAAAAAAAGAATCCAAGTACCTAAAATCAGAAAATCTTACTTCATTGAAAAGAATTTTCGTAACATCTTCCGAACTTAAGCTTTTATATGATAAAAAAATGCCAACCTTTGTGTATAATTAGAAGTTTATATTTCCTTTATTGATAGCGGACGTAGCAAAATAAGAGCATGCTAGCTAATCGAAAAGTTGACAATTAATTAATTTCATGCATCCAAAAAGTCAACTAATTCATGAACCTCTATAATTCAGTTGATAGCCATGACGAAAGGTAGGATAAGAACAAGGTAAAGCTCTAGTTGAATACGTATAGTATTACAATTCAATTTTGGACCTAATGTTGGGTTTTTTTTTCAAAGAATTATATATTATTGTGGTAGGAAGAAAAAATTAAAGGGTATCACCAAAATTTCACAATCGAAAACTACAACAATAGGGGTGCGGGAAAGGAAAATTGGAAGAAAAAAAAATATGTTTATTTTCTTAGTTTATGTTTTAATGCTTGAGAAAAATAAAATTTTAAGGGCATGCTTGGATTGGGGGAGATGTAATAGTAGGGTAATAAAAGTCAAACTAAGCAAAATGAAAGTGAATATAGGGAAGAAGGAGATAGTGATAGTGTAATTGTAAGGAAAATTATGTAGTGATGGTGTGGTATGAGGTAAAGAAAGAGAAACTAATACCCTCATTTTAGGGGTAATAGTTACACTAGGGGGAGGGTCGGTAACTATTACCCTCATTATGAGGGTAATAATTCCTTCATCTCTCTCTTTTTCTCATGGCACAATTACTTTATTTCATTTGTAAACACCATGCCTCCTACAACAACACCTCTAAATCTCTAATTACTTATGTTTTTTCAAGTTTGACTTTAATTACCCCCTTAATATATTACCCCTAATTCAAGCAAGGCCTTAAAGGGAAGAGAAAGGAGTAACCATTAAACTACACCCATAAATGGTATTAAGTCATGGGATATGAAAGAAACACTAAATACGTATAGTGAATTAAGAATTTTTTTTTCTTATTTGTACATATAAAAAAAAAAAAAGTAATACTTCCTCCTTTCTAGTAATATTGTAATAATTGGACTTTTTCACTATTCATCACACTCCTTTGACCATATATTATGATTTATACGTAAAGTAAAATGTAGTCATGTGGGATCTTGTTAGATTCGTCTCGTAAAATACTTTCACAACATAAACTTTTTATAATTTTTACTCCTATATAATTATAGATATTTAACATATAAAATGTGCTTTAAAATGCGTAATTTCATCCTTATTGCAATATTTGTAGAACAGAGAAAGT